CATGCGTAAATATACATATATACACTGTATATCATCCATTCCTCCCCTTATAGGCGTTTTCGGCATCTTGCCTATCGCAGCTTTGTAAGCGGCTGCCGGGGCTTTTTAGGACGAGGCATCAGAGTGGGTCATCCCGTGTGTGTGTTGTCCGCCAGATACGCCAGGAGTTTCCTGATCTGGCTGGATCAAATGCAAATCACAAAATATTAGAGAAACTTAGTTGTTTTAGATTCGTTAGTAGTAGTTGTGGTAGGAGTGTGTATCTATCTAATCTATCTATCTAATCAACACAGTTAGCTTGCCAGCTAATATGCTAACCTACGTTTGCTAGTTGTTCAGTGTAATATGCCAATCTACTATGAACAACAGCTAGTCTAGGCTAGCAAGAACATGTTTACAATTGCAATCTTATACGGGTAGTCTGCTACGTTCGGTCATTCATTGTAGCTGGCATGAAAACAATGTTTTCCCTAGCATGTCTAGCTCTAGGTAGCCTTGTTGTTTAGCTATGTAGCATACACGCTATGAACGGTAGCTTGGTAGCATACACGCCAGGAACGCCAACTATAATGTACTGACCGTACGGTAAATCACCCGGAGTATACTGTCTATGAGTATTTCGTGTGTGAATGCAGACATTCTCCTGCTATGAGATACATGTAAGGCCATCTGCTGATATTCGAGTTGATATATGGAAACGCTAGCAACTTAGTTAGCCCAGTTAGCACTGTGTCAATGGCTTAGCAGTCCGAAACACGTTTACACATTTAAACAGTCGTGGTAGATACCTTGTTTGATAAATACACAAATAACAATGCAAACTTACAGGTTGTGTACCCGAATCTTCCCCTGCTCCAAACGGTCCAAACAAACTAGGAATAGCATCGTCCTTCAGTTTCAAATGCTGTGCATATCCGGCCTCAAACTGGGCAATGTTTTGGAAGCTTTCGTCTGTGAAATGCCGCGCACACAGTAACGTTCTTCGAACCTCTGAAGGAACAGTGTTAAAAAGAAATTTCAACCACTGACTTCGTCGTGGTTCTTCCGTCGGTAGGAGAAACAGCTCAGATTTCCCCTCACATTTCAGGAAACAGGTCCTTGGCATTGGCATGACTGGATCGATTGTGAACTGAACCAGAGCTTCCAACAGTAAATGTTAGGCTGGCAGAGGGCGCGGCCGGCGCGGCCAGCGCCGCTGGGTGTGGCCATAGCTCTCCCGGATTGGTCCATTTTGTTCCGGGTACGGCATGACATCATGCCGTACCCGGAAGAATCAAATGGACAGTGACGTATCTCCAACGAGGCGTTTTGGGGAGGTATTTTCTGTGTTAGAGTTTTACTCGCTACAGGGTGTACTTTGAGGGTTTTGACTCTGCACACCGTTTGGATGCATAAAAACCTTCATAACACACAAGGGGACGGGTAATAACCGGAAAAGCATGACACCTCTCCTTTAAGTGAAATGCTTCCACTCAGATTTCCCACGGTTAAACCAGAGGAACTAGATCAGTGTCTCCTGTTGAGTAGGAGGTTAAACAACAACTGTTCACAGATGGCATCTTTTCAAAGACAAACTTCATAGTTTCTTCTCAGATGTCTCACCTCTATGTGATAAATGTCAGTGAGCTGGAACCACTCTTTCACATTGTAACGTGTTCTGCTCTAAACTACAAGCGACAACAAGACGGTGTCTCAACAACATGTATAGCTGACATTTATGAAGCTACCAACAGGTGGAAGAAGTACTCGGGTCTTGTACTTGAGTCAAAGTAGAAGTACCAGAGTGTAGGAATACTCTGTTAGAAGTAAAAGTCCTGCATTCAAAATGTTACTCAAGTAAAAGTACAAAAGTATTGGCATCAAAATATACTTAAAGTAAAAGTACTCATTATGCCGATTCAGAATAATAAAGTATTATATGTTTTGGTTATAATTGTTGATGTGTTTATCAAAGCTGGTAAAGGTGAAACTAATTTCAACTAATTGTGATTTTACTCCAGGTGTATCTAAAGTAACTTTTAAGGGTTGATCCTATTGTTTATCATTAATATATATCTGCAAAGTAACTAAAGGTATTAAATACATTTAGTGGAGTTAAAGTACAATATTGACCTCTGAATTGTGTTGAGTAGAAGTACAAAGTAGCATAAAATTGAAATACTCAAGTAAAGTACAAGTACCTCAAAAGTATACTTACTGTAAGGACAGTACTTGATTAAATGTACTTAGTAACTTTACACCCCTGGCCACAAATTCCTAATGATGTGTTTTCATGTTTCATGTGTGCTTTTGCTAACATGCCCTTTGCACAGCTGCAGTTGAAACAATAGTGTTTGTTCACTTTTTATCTCACTCAAATCTTGTATGCAAATCCACAGCAGTAGTTATCAGCATGCATTAGTTTGCAAATATATAACTGTGTATAACTATCATACTACAGGGAGTTTGTTTATCATGTGATGCATATGCACTGTAAAGAAAGCTAGTCTTTACTAACTGTAACCAATGACCTACAGTGCATACCTAAACTCAGACTGTGAAATGTGTTATATTCACATCTTACAGTCCTTAGATTTAGTGTGCTTTGTGTCATTACTCTGGACACCAAATGTGGTTATTGCAGCATCATTACTTCATCATCTCCCCATTAAAACATGATCTTTTTAATATTATTTAAGGACTCCACTCCTTTCCTTTTTCATTCTACCTTTTTTACGATTATTTTCAACTTTTTTTTTTAACGGAGTGAGTGGGGGTTTTAAATACACAACATTCATATTTCAACTTGTTGTATCATTTTAATTTCCTGACAAAAAAGACAAAAACAAATAGTTTGATGAAAAACAGTAATGCAGATAATATTGCATTTTTTAGCCATCATTGGAACACATGCTTACACTACATATAACACGTCACACCTGTTCATGTCTTCATCTCTGAAAAACAATGAATAAACTAAAACATCAGCCCTTAAGTCTAACAACTTCCACTGTTTACACACACTTTACCCCAGCTGATTTCAGTATTCACATCTGAGCCTGCAGGTCCACTGAAATCTTTCAGTTCCTCACCTTTAACATAACGTTTGTTCAGGACTTCCACTTCAACTGTACCGCCTACGCTTCATCTGACATTTACAATACTTTCTGTTATCAGCCTTTCAACCACCATTCAGTACTTTCACTTCAAAGTTCTGCTTTCTTTATCTTTATCCCCTACGAATAAAGGGATTCTGATTCCCTAACTAGTAAACACTTAGCTTTGTAACTTGTCTGCCACTTAGAAGACTACTTCAACTATTTTAATGGTTTCAGCTTATCAACTTTCATTTTCTATTGTTATCTCAGTGAGCAAAACTACGTGATCAGCTTCGTGGTTCCCGACCAGAAGAGGATGACAGAACTGGCCAGGAAGAAAGGCATTGTGGGAAAATGGGAGGAGATCTGCACTCACCCCGACATGGAGAGAGAGGTTCTGAGGGAGATCAAGGAGGTTGCTGCTAACAGTAAGAACTGATCATGTGTTTTTATAACGGTGTGAAAAAGCTGTAGAGATTATCTTTACTAAATGCACAATTCTCATTCTGTCCTTATCCCTATATTTAAAATGTTTTTATTGAGCCAAAACTATATATTATAAAAAATGTGTTATTGTTTCAATGCTCATTTCCATTAATACAAAATAATTACCTAATTTAATAAATTTCTCGCAGAAATAAGCAAAAAAAAACATTTATTTAGAAATTGGAACAGTATCAAGAGTAAGAAGTTAAAAAATAATAATAATAATAAAATAGCATTATAGATTTCACTATACTGTGAAGAATGTATGTGAGATGAACTGTTCTCTTCGTCTTTTATCCATTCAGTAAAACTTCAGCGATTTGAGATTCCAGTGAAGGTTCACCTGAGTCCAGAGCCATGGACCCCCGAGACGGGCCTGGTCACAGATGCTTTCAAGCTGAAGAGGAAAGAGCTGAAGAACCACTATCTCCATCACATAGAGAGAATGTACGGAGGCAAATAACTGCTAAATTCCACCTAAGAGTCTCCAGTGTAACTATAACAATGTAAATAATCTTCCCGGTACCCGATATGATTTTTAATGCTGTCTGTACCACTGGCGTCGACCTTGAATATGTCTTGAAAAGAAAAGCTGTAGAGAGTAGTCGATCCATGTGTGCCGCTTTCTATTCTCGTGTACATGAGTTTTGATTGTCAAAAGAAATACACACAACTTGCAACTCGTATGCCATGAAAAGGGTCTGAAACCGTTACAGCACTTAACTGCCATTCACTTAAATCCGCTGGCACTGGTTGTAGCTGATTTATTTAAAAAAAACATACCACTGTCCTTTATATGTTGCTGATGCTTTTTTGTTACTTTCGTTTGAAAATATGAACAACTGTTATCACGGAGGCTTTTTTTTCCTGTTTTGTAAAATTGGAGTACTGATGTTACTGTGCCTTCACTCTGCAGTACTCGTGTAGTCACGCAGAAGTGTCAGCTAAATTATTAAAACAAATAGGTTTGTGCTTTGTTACAAAAATGGTTTAACTGCCATGTTATGTTTACTTGAGGAAATATATTCCCACCCAGAGATACTCTGACATGGATCATACATAAACCATACATGTGATCATGTCTGCTTATCAACTATTTTTTTTCCTGACCAATGTTTTATTTATTTGATTTGTGTCAACTTATTCAATAAGTAAGACCTACATGTGTGAACACAAATGACTCAGGAAGCAAATGCTTTAATATATGAATTGTCAAATAATGGGTTACTTGTATACAAAGCCCTTTTGTTGAAATTCTTGTGGGCACCTTATTTATTTAAGAGCAGGCATAATTGTCTCCAAACCAACTGCTAACATGCTTATTAGCATTAGCTAGTCAGGAAGTGTCTATAATACTGTGTGTCTTTTACCTCAGTTAATGTACAATTTGGTATCAGAAGGTTATCCGAAGTGGAGTCTGTTCATTTAAATATAGGAGTGTTTTCTATGTATTTTTCCAAGTGTTGTCGTGTAATTGTATTTGCATCATTAAAATATGTTATGGACACAGACACTGACAGTCTCTACACAGTTTGGTGATCCTGTTTGTATTTATTACTCCATTATTATGATCACATGCCTTGTTCAAGAATAAACGTTTTTTTTGCATATTTTGTGGTGTATGACATTTTATTACAAAAAGAGATATAAACAAAAAGCATCTACATTAATGTTGATTGTTTTGATGGGGCGAGCCTCAGCTGCTCCAGTCTTGAAACCGGAAACAGTCACTAGCAATCTTCCAAACAGGCTGGTCATTGTTGGGTGTTGCCTGAGCTGTCAAAAGAAAGTTCTGGTTAAAGAAACGCTGTTTGTTCCCTTCAAATTTGACAGTTCCACCAGTCACCACGAGCAGTGTAGTCTGACCCTGGGTTGCTTGTTCTGTGAAGAAAGGGTAGATTGATCCTGGATTAGTGCACCTTCAATGGAATAACATCACATGGTTGAAGTTATACCAACCATGGCATTTGAATGATCTGCTTCAAACTTGGAATCCCCCTCTTCATTAGAGGATCATCAATAGAAGTTGTTTTTATATAGTAACTAACTAATACGAAACTAACCGTGAACTGGCTGACAATCCAGTGTTTGAACTTGGAACTCGCTTGAAGGCAATGAATCGAAGAAATCCGCCAGAGCATCGTTTCCAGACACAGCATTCCCATTCCACACCAAGGTCGCCTTGTCCAGGTAGAGCCGGGTCAAGTTCTGAGACAGTCCATGAAAAAAACATTAACAAGATCACAAAAATCAAGGGAAAGCAGCAAATAGCTTGATCTACACCCAGACCAATACTGGATTGAGCAGGCCGATACTTTTATTGATATACGGGGGAAAACATTTTTATAAATCGTAAAATATATCAGCTATTTGTCTCAGAAAATAACATTTAATTTGATGGGTTAAATTGGACATTTTATGGTTTTTACTGCTCTCTGGTGACCAAACTATGTAATAGCGAATATTATTGATCCCAAACGCATCTTTTACAATTTGAGGCTGCAATTCAAGGTTCATCTCAATATCCCTGCTCGACTCCTCTATCCCCCTCCTCCGGGACTTGACCCAGAAATCGATCAAGACACGCCATGTTGAAGGACGTCCCAATTGCTGAAATGCACACAGAAGGCTTCTCAATTCTCTAATTTCCCCTCTACTCCTCGAGCATCGAGGAGGCTCTCTGGAGGAGCTATAATCGAGGATACACTGATGGTTCCTCCACGGCTCCTCCGCGGATGTATTTCCGGCAACAATGATGTTTCAAAGAGTCGTGACGCACGGCCGGACTTATCTCAGCCAATGACAGCTCTGCATGCATCCCCTGGATATTATTTTATTAACTGCTTTCATCGCGACGCGATGTTTACAGTGAGAACAGCTGTGAGGTCCGTGCAGAAAGCAGAGCAGTGTGTATAATATCACTCAGTATAACAGGCCTACATTACTCTCTTTATTTGCTTTAGTTTAGTAGATATCTACAAACAAAGAGTCGATATTTTTCTAAAACCATTTAGTGCTTCACATAATAAAATACACAACGGCTGTAGCCTGATATATATTATATGCTTTAGGAGCTGTAGGTGTGTGTTGTACAGTGTGTAGCTGTGTGTGTGGTACAGTGTGGAGGTGTGTGTGTTGTACAGTGTGTAGGTGCGTGTTGTAGGCTACAGTGCGTAGATGCGGCAGACAGACAGGTCTCAGTTGGTTTGGTGTCCTATGCTTACTTTTAATACTTGTAAATAAAACTTTTGGCCCGTAATTTCAATTCTCCATTTCAGCGACCAGAGAGGCGGGGGGATATATCCAGTCCCTGATTGTGTTACGTTATTATGAGAGTGCTCTCATACTTGTTTGATTCTGAAATTGTATTTATATAAATATATATGTGTGTGTATATGTCCGCATCTGTAGCCTGTTATTGTCTCATTATAAAACGGACAAGTCAAATCAAGCAATCTGATTGGTTCTTAGCCGTGATATACTGAGCGTATACCACGGGTAGAATTGTAGTTACTTTTCACAACAAGTCAGTATCCCTCCGCGTCTGAGAAAAACTGTATACAGTTGGGCTGAAAAGCAAACTGCCGCTTTTTAAACTGGGACAAGAAAACAGCGGAGAAGTAACGGGGCAGAAACCCTCCTTCGCGTCGGGCCGAACCACGCCCCTTAGCTGTGATATACTGAGCATATTCCACGGCCTGTCGTGAGCTATTGCTTAATTATACCGCACTGTGAATGAATTCAAAGTAAATATATAAATCGTCATGAACACATCTGTCCATCAGACAGAGTGCTGTGCCACCTGTCATCCTTAATGGACGTCTCTTTAAAATGACCGCTCAGAGGAAAGGATTTCTCATTTCTCTAAACACCTGCTGCTTCCCCTCCTCTCTCCTCGGTTCCCCTCCTCGACTCCTCCGCTCGCATCTCCTGTGGGCGGGACTAAGACACGAGGATAGGAGTCGAGGAGGGGAGTCGAGGAGGGGAAATTAGAGAATTGAGAAGCCTTCACGGAGGAGTCGAGGAGGGGTGAGGGAGGAGGCTTCCAGAGGAGACGAAAGGGAGGATACACGAGAGCAGACTACGCGGAAGTGTTTTCACTACTCGCGTATAAAAGCCCCGTCCCCACATTCACAGCTGGTCGATTTCAACACAGGAAAACGGAGAACTGGAAGAATGAGTGGAAAAGCATCACATACATATAAGCTCACAGCTCCGTGGGAATTATTATGTGCAATTCATTTCTTACGGTTATACTAACAATTTAAGTAATGTTTAATGATCTTGAACGTCACTAAAACATAGCTATTAAGAAAGATATTTCATAAATGGCTAGAACTTGATAAATAACAATTATTTTATAGTTTTGTGTTAAAATATTCAGTAGTTAAATTATTTAAAATTCAGTCCTGAATGTGGGTTTGTGGTGAATGTGGGGATCTACAGGACACACATTTTCAGCGCTTTCTCATTACTATAATTATATTTTTATTTAAATGTAGGCTACATTTACACCAAAACGGAACACAAAAGCAGGACCAACCATCATACATTGAATTCCTTGACTAACAAGAGAAAGATTCATTCATTTAAATAAATATTTAACAACAAATGGGCCTGTTCTAAAGGGTTATTCAGTTAAGCCCGATGAGAGGGGATACAGCTGTGCACATGTCATCATTAACAGACGTTGTTTAAAAGTTTGAGTGAACGAGGACAACCCAATTAATACCTGAGGACTCCTCTGTCCTCGCGTCTCCTCCTCGTGTCTCTCGCTCGCATCTTACGGAGGCGGAGCTAAGACGCAAGGAAGGGACGCGAGTGAGGGAAAGGAGGAGGTGAAATATTCAATTGAGATGAGCCTTCAGTATCTGATATATTCCCAAATACCGATATCTCTAGTCTATGATATCCATGTTGTAAAAGTTTTACTTCTTTACATACATGTACAGTACCAGTCAAAAGTTTGGACACACCTTCTCATTTAATGGTTTTTGTTTATTTTAATTTGTTTCTACTTTGTATATTAATACTGAAGACATCAAAACTATGAAAGAACACATATGGAATTATCTAGTTAACAAAAAAGTGTTAAGAAATCCAGAATATGATTTTTATTTTATATTCTTCAAAGTAGCCCCGTTTTGCCTTGATGACAGCTTTGCACACTCTTGGCTTGTCAGCTTCATGAGGTCGTCACCTGGAATGTATGTCTGCAGTAGCCAGCAAAATATAAATCATATTCTGGATTTTTTTACACTTTTTTGTTAACTAGATAATTCCAAATGTGTTCTTTTAAAGTTTTGATGTCTTCAGTATAAATCTACAATGTAGAAACAATTAAAATAAATACAAAACTTCGAATGAGAAGGTGTGTCCAAACTTTTGACTGGTAGTGTATATGTACATTGAACACACAAAGTGACTGTTGAATTATGAAATGTAATATATGAATTCTGTTTATTTAGTACTCTTATACTAATCACTTCCTGTATTCCCGTGATAAAAGGGACATGCGCAATAAAACGTGTCACTTCCGATTGAAGCACAGCTGATGGTGTACGTGTGTATGTATTCCTCTGTCACGTTAAACTATGTTCACGGTATTCCTGCCCTAAGATCATGGCATCGCTAACAGGTTATGGGCCCAGGAGGGACCATGGAAGCCGGTGGAACCGTTTGTGTTTCGACGGAGATGAGAAGAACTACGAGTTATGGGAGACAAAGTTTTTGGGTCACCTGCGACTGCTAGGATTGAAGGCTGCCATCCTAGAGGAGCCAGGTGTAGAGGATGAGGCTGATGATGAGAAAAACGAAGAAGCCTATGCGGAATTGATCCAGGTACTGGACGATAAAAGCCTTTCACTGATCATGAGAGAAGCAGCGGACAACGGAAGAAAAGCGTTACAAATACTGAGGGACCACTACGCTGGGAAAGGGAAACCACGGGTGATCAGCCTCTACACTGAACTAACGTCGCTGCAGAAAGCCGCTAATGAGAGCGTCACTGACTATATTATTCGTGCCGAAACGGCAATTACAGCACTGAGAAATGCTGAAGAGACTCTTAGCGACGGGCTGCTGATAGCCATGATTTTAAAGGGACTGCCAATCTGTTTTAGGCCGTTTGCCATCCACATTACACAAGGGGATGAGAAGCTAACTTTTGGTGAGTTCAAAACAAAGTTGAGGAGCTATGAAAGCACAGAAAAATACAATGCCAACTTGAGTGAGGAATCTGATAATATTATGAAAGCGAGTGGCTGGGTGAAGTGGAGAGATGGCCCCAATATCACCTGCTACAACTGCGGTCAGAAAGGACACCGGGCTCGTGAGTGTCGAAGTGCGAGTAGCAGCAACAGCAAAGACCAGAGACAGTGGTGCAGTTTTTGCAAAAATTCCACACATATAGATGCAAACTGCAGACGCAAAGAGAGAGACAATGCTAAACAAGCAACTGACGTTGAGGACCACTCATTTGTTTTTAAAGTACGTGACAGTCCAGTAACCGGAGTTACACATAAAGGGCTGATGGTCGACACCGGAGCAACGTCACACATAATAACGAACATCGACAAGTTTAAAAGGTTCGATGAGACTTTCCACAAGACATTTTCTCTGTTAAAGCAGCGACAGCCAACGGAGCATCAGTGAACTTTCGTCAGGGTTGTAACCAGCTGATTCACCAGAGAGGTAAAATATTTGACATCAAGGAATATGATAGACTTTATTTTTTAAACACTGTGGACTGTGAAGCTGAGGACGATGCATGTTATGGATGTTATGACATTCAAACATGGCATGAAATACTTGGTCACTGTAACTATGATGATGTGTCACAACTGGAAAAAGTCACTGAGGGGATGAAAATTAAGGGTGGGATTGATAAATCTAACCTTAACTGTGAAGTGTGTACTCGAGGTAAATTTGCTCAGAGTAGGAACAGACAACCAGATGCAAGAGCTAAAGCAGCGCTCAATCTTGTGCACACTGATTTAGCAGGTCCCATTGAGCCAGAGGCTAAGGAGGGATTCAGATACACATTGGCTTTTACAGATGACTTTTCAGGGGCAGTATTTGTGTATTTCGTAAAAGCTAAAAGTGATACTTTCAAAGCCACAGAGAAATTCATTGCTGATGTCGCACCTTATGGTAAAATCAAATGTATAAGGTCTGATAACGGTACAGAATTCACCGGGACAAACTTTCAATCGCTCCTTAGACAACATGCAATACGACATGAAACTTCAGCACCTTACTCACCCCATCAAAATGGGACAGCTGAGAGAAACTGGAGAACACTTTTTGAAATGGCAAGATGCATGCTTCTTGAGAGCAATTTACCAAAGAAGCTATGGACATATGCCGTCATGACTGCAGCTGTAATACGTAACAGATGTTACAACAGACGTGTAGGACAGACACCTTATTATATGCTGACAGGACGTAAGCCGAACCTCTCGAAAATGAATATATTTGGATCTGTATGCTATGCATACAAGCAGGAAAAGAAAAAGTTAGACTCGAGGTGTGAGAAGGGTATTTTTGTAGGGTATGATAAAAACAGCCCAGCATACCTAGTCTACAACCCAGACACTGGTAGTGTTCGAAAACACAGGCAAGTGAAGTTTGTCACAAAAAGTATAGTCGAGCGACATACACAGACTGATTTTGAGGCAAGTGATGACGATTTTTATGAGAAAAGGTTTGTATCCACCAAGCCAGAAACCCAGGGGACTGACTCGTGTCCAAAAGAGACACAGGAGGCTCGAACTGAGACAGATGACACAAACACTCAGACAGGAAAGGGAGCAGAAGGTCAAAATAGAAGCTATCCCCAAAGAGAAAGGAGGAGACCTCAGTATTTAGAGGACTATGAATGTAAAGTACAGTGTGACGACCAGAAGTATGTAAATATTGACTACTGCTACAGAGTAATGTGTAATGTACCAAACACCTTTAAAGAGGCCATGAATTCAGCAGAGTCAAAACTCTGGACTGATGCTATGCAGGAGGAAATGAATTCTCTTAAGGAAAATGACACATTCACATTGACCACACTACCAGAGGGCAAAAATGCAGTGGGGGGTAGATGGGTCTATACAATCAAAGAAAACACAGAAAAGACTGAGATATATAAAGCCAGATATGTTGCAAAGGGATATAGTCAAGTGGCAGGAATAGACTATAAGGAGACATTTTCCCCGACTGCAAACATGACATCAGTACGAAGCTTGATGCAATTGGCAGCTCAACATGACTTACACCTACATCAGATGGATGTTAAAACTGCATATTTACACGCTCCAATTGATTGTGAGCTCTATGTACAGCAACCTGAAGGTTTTGAGGTCAAGTCAGACACAGATGAAAAGCTAGTCTGCAAGCTGAATAAATCACTGTATGGGTTAAAACAATCTGGAAGAAACTGGAATAAAATGTTGCATGATCATCTCTGTGAGAACGGTTTTGCACAAAACCCAGCTGATCACTGTGTCTACAGTAAAGGAAGAGAAAATGAGAGGATCATTCTGATTATTTGGGTGGATGACTTAGTTATCGCAGCTAATGATATTCACACAATTAATACTGTGAAAGAAATGTTGAGCACAAAATTTAAAATGAAGGATCTTGGGAAACTTAAACATTTCCTAGGCATTGACTTTACTCAGGAAAAAGGAGAAATAAAGATGGGTCAAAAGAAATTCATTACAAAAATACTGGAAAAGTTTGGTATGAATGACTGTAAGCCAAGGTCCACCCCATGTGAACAGAAACACAACTTTGATGATGATGGTGAAGCTGTTGATGCAACACAATATCGTGAAGTGGTAGGCAGCTTAATATATTTAATGACATCTACACGGCCTGATCTAAGTTGGATAGTCAGTAAACTGTCACAGCATTTTTCAGAGCCAAAAGAACAACACTGGTTAACTGCTAAACATGTATTGAGGTACTTAAAGGGCACAATTAATCAGGAGCTATGTTTTAAACAACAAGATGAAAAACTGAAACTTGTTGCATACTGTGATGCGGATTGGGCAACAGACCAAAATGACAGACGGAGTATAACAGGGTACTGTTTTAGTCTAACTAGCAATGGGCCTGTTATTACTTGGAGATCAAAGAAACAGCAAACGGTAGCTTTGTCGACATGTGAGGCAGAGTACATGGCACTGGCTGCCACAGCACAAGAGAGTTTGTATCTTGTGCTGCTAATAGAGAGCATGGATAGTGAGGGTCAATATACTCCTGTGAAAATCTTTGAAGATAACCAGGGTGCAATTGCTCTATCCAAGAACCCAGTATGTCGTCAACGATGTAAACATGTGGATGTCAAGTATCATTTTGTTCGAACTGTACTGAGTGATAACATGATAACCATTGACTATTGCCCTACAGCTGATATGGTTGCTGATATTTTCACTAAGCCTGCAACAAAGGTCAAAAGTGAGAAATTTGTAAAGTATTTGTTTGGAATGTAAATAACCCCAGAAGTTTCAAACACTGTGTTATTGTGCAGGTGTATAAGGTGTTTACATTTGAATTCATGTTGAGAAATTGTGCAGTATAAGAGTAAGTGGGGGTGTTGAATTATGAATTCTGTTTATTTAGTACTCTTATACTAATCACTTCCTGTATTCCCGTGATAAAAGGGACATGCGCAATAAAACGTGTCACTTCCGATTGAAGCACAGCTGATGGTGTACGTGTGTATGTATTCCTCTGTCACGTTAAACTATGTTCACGGTATTCCTGCCCTAAGATCATGGCATCGCTAACAGTGACCATAACCCCAAACACGTCACTGGGTTGCGCACTCACTATGGTGGCCTACAATGGACACAATCTTATAATTCACCGAATGATCTTCCCATGTCGATGTATTGGTCAAGCTTAAATGACCTCAGACAAATGATTTACAATAACTGGAGTATTTGTGTTTCCCATTTCAGACAACAAAACAAGACCATCACTCACCCTTCTTTTCTTATCCATGCAGTCGTAATAAATGTTGACAAATTCTTCTGAATATCGGCATGACTGGTCGACATGGGTCCTGAAATCCTAGAGTGAAAAATCACTTATTGAAAGCTGATTGCAAAAGGTTTAAAATAAACAAACATGACAAGGTGTGTGAGACGGTCAATGCATTTTAAAAGTCGCACATTGTAAATTGACGTTACCTACTAGCTAGCAAAACAATGCGTTAGCTAGTTCCTTTCAGCATAAAGTGTAGCACAAGTTTCAAACTTACCAGCAGCGGGCTAGCCATTTTAGAGTTATATGGAGCGGAACAACTCTGGATGTATTAACTATTATCAAATAGTATAGTGAAAAATAATGTAAGCGTCAATTAAGATAGCGTTTATTTTCTTGTTCATTTGGATTTAGCATCCAACGCTGCCATTTTGACGCATGAATGACTTCCTCTGGGCACTAACTATACCTACCAAAATAAAACGTGTGTGTGTGTTTTATATGCAATGAGGGCCTCTGATAGCGTGTTTTCAAGACTATGAATACCGTGTTACACAGATTATATTTGAAAAGTGATAAAAATGTAATAATAATCGAATTAATAATAGAACCACATACGAATTCAGCCTCAACGTCGGGTGATGCCGCTGATAGTATTTTACTTTGAAGTGGGAATATAACGGAAGAGCGGAAGTAGAGTTCATAGTTTCCTGAGTCACGGCTGCTCGGTTCAAACAACCTGAAACAACCCCACTTTGCTAACTACTGTGTACATTGTTTATATCTTGAATTATTTTTAACAATGGAGAGCACTGTATCAAATGTAAAGGTCTGTCATTTAGCTTTCACGGGGGAGTTTGAACAATTAAAAGAGTGCATCCTGGCAGATAAAACGCTTGCCTGCAAAACGGACCAGGTAAGAATGAATGTTTTAAAATAAAGACACAAGTCAAGGGAAATTGTTCACATCTTTTAAGCATTCTAGGGATTCACCCACCGTGTCCTGTGGTTTCAGGACTGTAGAACCGCTCTGCACTGGGCTTGTTCAGCTGGACACATCAACATTGTGGAGTTTCTGCTGGACCTGGGAGTGGACGTGAATCTGCAAGATGATGTAGGCATGACACTTCTACAACTAAATGTTTACAAATGTTTGGTTGCAGTATTTTTGTCCTCTAATGTAGTGCATAGCAGTTAGTATTATATACTATTGTCCTTATACTACAGCAACCACCCAACTTGATACATATTCGATAATAATGAATAACTTAAATGTGTCTCTTTCAACCCTCTTGCTTTTAGAGACGTTGCATTTATAATAACCATGTAAAGAAAATGTAGTAGAATTATTTTTTTTACAGTTGTGGAAGAAGTACTTAAATAGTTTAAATAGCAAAACCAATATTTTCAAAAATACACACAAGTAAACAAATAGAGTAAAAGTCCTGTAAAAGTAAAAGCCTACTTAAAATGAACACATATTGGCAAATACTCAAACTACCAAAATCTAAAGTTCTCCTAATCGCCCATTTCAGAATCATGCATATTAAATAACTGCATTATGATTATTGATGCTTTAATCTGTCTATCAGAGCTGGTAAAAGTGGCACTCATTTGTAATACTTTGTTTACTACTGCTGGATATCTTAACCTACATTCAATAGTGTTTAATTTTGTAGTTTAGCTATTTTGCATTAGCTCATAATGTTAGTCTATAAAGTTAGTTAAAGATTGTATATAACACGTTTGTAATCTTGTAGTTTGTACATTTTAAATGTCTATAAGATGTCAAATAAAGTACAAAATATGTATAAATCCGAATGCCATGTTGTAGAATGTGATTCAACAGACATAATATTGTGTAATCTAAAGATGATCCAATTCACTTTGTGTTATGGATTGACAGCATGTGATGTTTTGCTTCCCAGGCTTTGTGGACCCCTCTTCACATCGCAGCGTCAGCAGGCAGAGAGGACATAGTGAAGGCTTTAATATCCAAAGGAGCTCAGCTGAATTCAGTGAACCAAAATGGATGCACAGCTCTGCACTATGCCGCCTCCAAAGACAGATATGAGGTAAGGCTTCCAGGTTGCAGTTACTTTGACTGATACTCCGATCTCATGAAGAAGACTATTCTACATGCTTGTAATCCTAAACTTGTATTAACTGTTTTCATGATGCTATATATATGCATATTTCACACAGGGGTGGAACTTTAAAGTTGTTCCTCTCCACATTTTTCACATAACCCATGAATTCCATTAGAATACAGCATAGGTATGAAGAATAACTTCTGTAGTGTCAAATATGTTTGTTTGTTTTTTTACCATCAGCTGTGTATTAGAAGATTTGGTCTGAAAATGGAAAGCAGTATCACATCTTGATAAAAGGACTTACCTTCTGGCCACATTATATCATATAATATAATAATATTTGTTTACTTTGCTGTTGGGGGTAGAATGATAACTTGGATAATACATATGATGCATGATATCATTGCTATCAACTTCTTTTTGCATTTAGTAATATTTGAGAACAACAGCACGATCAGGCTACATTTTTATTGAGAAATATCTTTAATGTGTATTTCTTAGGACTGGGGCAGAATATTAGAAAATCCTTCCATATAATGCAATCGAGTGCAACACCACAACTAACTATGACCTCATTGCTGAACGAGGATTGAATAAACTCCTCTTTGATTGTGTAAAAAAAAAAAACACATTAAAGAACTCGTATAAATTAACATTATTTCAGAACAGCATTCCCGAGAATGCTTCCATTTTTCTAAAGAAAAGTTGTAATGTATAACCCTAAATACACTTGTCTTTTTTTTTGTATTTAGTATTGAATTGGGAACAAATATGTTGGTGTACATCGTTTACCCCTGCAGGGGACAAAAACATGCAGCAAGTCACAGTAACACAAGATGCCTACAATGCATTAACATGGAGTTCGACATTTTACCTGTGGCATGCCATTTTGAAACCTACACAACAGGATCTGAAGATGTGTTTTTCATATAAATGGGAAGTCAGTGTTAGGATACTTTCACTGATGTGTTACTACCAAATCTTTCCTCTCTTTATAGATCGCCCAGCTGTTGTTGGAAAGCGGAGCAGACCCCAATATCAGCGACAGATACGAGTCCACTCCCCTTCACAGAGCGTCTGCCAAGGGCAACCACCACCTCATCCAGCTGCTGCTCAAACAGAGCGCCTCCACCAACATCCAGGACTCACAGGGCAACACACCACTGTACGTGTGGATACGTATTTGACTTATACTACATTGGGGCTTTCAAATACTGTAGGCTATAGTTTAGAACTACCAGCCCTTAAAGCAGTCGTTCTCAACCTGGGGTTTTGGAGATATTTCTGGGGGTGGAAAAAAACATGTAGTATTTTAAACTGGGGATATCATTTGCTTTAGAATATATTTTATTGAGTGTTATTGTAATACATCCACACAACCACCCCTTCATTTAGCTCTACTAATTTAACCATTCACATCACACTTGCTTAACTTTAGGGCTAACACAATCACAAGGTTGTAAACAACCTATGTTGCAAATGTATTATCTTTTCAATTTACACACGGCATCTATTGCACATCTGTCCGTCCTGGGAGAGGGATCCCTCCTCTGTTGCTCTCCCTGAGGTTTCTCCCATTTTCCCCTTTAAACTGTGGGTTTTCTCCGGAAGTTTTTCCTTGTACGATGTGAGGGTCTAAGGACAGAGGGTGTCGTATTGTCATACTGATATTCTGTACAAACTGTGAAGTCCACTGAGACAAATGTAACATTTGTGATATTGGGCTGTATAAATAAACATTGATTGATTGATTGACAAGGCAGAAGTGTTTAAACCCCAAACATTAAAACACATGGCAACACACGGTGCATCTTCCCCTATATTTGCAAACAATGTATGAACGATGATTGCCTGATTATTAAGGGGGTATGCAAACTCTAAAATGTTAAAAGAAAACCCTGCCCTAAAGTGTAAATTCAACTACATTTAAATAATGTTTTCTCACTTATCTTTAGAGAATTACAGTAATCCCGATGTGTGAATTTTTGTCTTAGATATGTTCACCTTTGGCCTAATATAATGAAGGTGATTAGAATTTAGCATGTAGTGCAATCACAATTTAAATTAAAAAAAAGGAAAAGCATCTTTGTATTTATAATTCTGCTTTTTTCTCCTAGCCATCTGGCGTGCGAGGAGGAGCGTGTGGAAGCAGCCAAGGTGCTGGTGGAGCATGGGGCCAGCATCTACATTGAGAACAAGGAGGAGAAGACCCCGCTACAGCTAGCCAAGGGCGGCCTGGGCAACGTTCTGCGCCGGATTGTTGAGGGATGATTCATTTAATGACCCCATGTCTCACTCCTGCTCTGATCCCCACCATCACAAGTTACATCATTAGAAATCTCCTCCCAGTCTGTCATCCCTGGAGTGACAGTCAGATGTCTAACAGGTCGAAGATGAGCTGGTGTAAGGGAGAAAAGTTGGACTGTACTTCATTGTTTTCAGACCCTTTGATGGGGCACTGAAACTGCTCTGAACTTAGATGTCTGATCAAAAACAGTATCCTGTGCAACAAGGCGGCATTTTCTTATGATATATTTCTTTTTAAGTTTGATTTAAATGACCAATTAAAATATGTTTTCAGGCCTGTTAAAATAGTTGAGGATGTGTTTATCTGTTGTACATGCGCTCATTAAATCCAGCAAAAACATTCAATATGTGTTTCTGGCCAACTCCTGAGTGAAATATCATGCTCTTTAGCTGTTAAATGCTTCAGCTAGTTGCTAACTCTGTCTGTCTGATGCTGAGAAGTTCACGATTTTTAGAACTTTTTCCTGATGAAAACAGCTGCCTTGTATGGCTGAAAAATAATTGAGAGAACCAAAACTTGTTGGTGTAATATAGCCAACAGGAGACCATTCATGTATGAAGTAATTTTGGTAGCACATCACTGTATAACATTAGAGTTGTTGAATATTTCCAAAAATAAAAAATCACCAAAATGATTCAAAAGCATATTTCTTTAAAGTAAGTGTTGTGGTATAACCAATAGCACACCATACAAGTATTAAGTGGTGTGCTTAGAGAAATTCAACTAAATTATTCAAAAGCATTTTTTTTTTCAAAATAAATGTTGCAGTATAACTAGTGGGAGACCATTGATGTGTGAAGCAATTTTGATACAATAGCCTACTGTTGGACATGAAGGTTATGAACATTTTCCATAAACAATATTCACAACAATTTTGCAAATGCATGTTTTAGTTTTTTTTAGATACTTATTCAAAGTAGTGAGATAGTGAGTCAAAATAATGAATATGTAAGTCAAAATAATGAGACAGTTGGAGTTTCTCAATGTCTTGAGGGGAAAATGGACAACCACAGAAATCCCATACGTTACGTTTAACCGTTAAACTGGTGCTTTCCCCCATGCTAACAAGTTTCATTTTATCCCCCGCAAAAAAATCCTATCTTCTCAATACGTCAGTAGTCAGCAGGGATGCGCGCGGAGAGGTGCCCAAACTGCGCATGAGTTGCTTTCACTTCCTGGAATCGAGGGCGCGTCAATAAACAGTTCTCTTTAATTGCGTTCCCATTTAGTCGGTGGTCACACCAGAGACTGGATGAAATTGAAGACAAGAACTGACTTTGAACTTTTAAGGTAATAATTTAAGTTTTGCAGCGATAGTTTATCAAGTAACTTTTGACCGCACGTTATGTAGACTAGACAAGCTAACGTAGCTAGCTAATGTTTGTAGCTAGCATTAGGTTAGATTATATCTGCTTTTATAAACCCAACATTACAGCTCGACAGAACAGGCCAAAGTCCAAATCCACTGTTTCTACACGTTAATGATGATATGCGTACTTTTAGGGCAGTATATTGCTTTATTGGTCTGACAACTGAACGCAGTGTTCGTAGTGTTAGCATGGTGTCAGCTGTCAGATGCGAGCAGCAGTTTGCTTTAGTCTGTGTTTACCTGGCAGAGACTATGGGACGGTTGTGAAGCTATTGTAACGCTTCTAGCTGCGAGACCTTTCTGGAGTTTGCTAGATCAGTCATTATGGTCTGGCCATCAGAGGTAAAAGTACGTGGATTTCTGAGTCAGGGTTTCCACCTAGTAGGTTTCACACTGACACCATCAACTTGCAGATTCAGATAAAAAATGCCTCAGACAAAATCCCCTTTTGTCTTACTATATCAAATTCAAAATGCATCCCAAAACGTTGCTATTGATCTGGTGATTGCGTCTTTTTTTTTTAAATGCAGACGTGTTGCAAAGTTCAAAGATCAGAAGCGGCTCCCATCATTGAAACAAATATAGTACAATCTTAAAGATAGCAGTAGATCAATAGCGCCTTATTCAGCAATGATATAATGTGGCCAGAAGGTAAGTCGTGTTATCAAGATGTGATACTGCTTTCCATTTTGAGACCAAAGCTTCTAATACACAGCTGATGGTAAAAAAACAAACAAACATATTTTACACTACAGAAGTTATTCTTCATACCTATGCTGTATTCTAATGGCATTCATGGGTTATGTGAAAAATGTGGAGGAACAACTTTAAAGTTCCACCCCTGTGTGAAATATGCATAAATTGAGGTGTGTATCAGTGTCATGATGTGTTGCAACCATGAGGACCAGGCGCGCGTAGAGCAGAGTGGAGAAGTGCGTTCACTGAGCCTGCCGAGGCTATAAATGACTTTGATTTGTTGTTTAAATAGGGGGCCAACAAAACCTATCAGCCCCAGGGCCTGATGGCAGGTTAAGGCGGGCTTGCCTGTACCTTAGTCTACTTTCATGGATGCCACACCTGCGTAATACTGATACTTTTAGTCACTTTTATCTAATACGTCTACTTATCTAATTACTTATCTAATTACTCTCATGAGCGAGGCAGAAAATAATAGTTTTAACATGCCAAAAAGCTGCTGTGTCGTTTATTGCACCTCAAACATTAAAACAAATCCAGAGTTACGTTTTTTTTTCTGTACTTCCTCTAAGAAGAAAGGACAGTAAAAGAAGAGCTCTGTGGCTTCAGGCTTGATCGCCGTTCAAATGACAGCGTTGGTTTCCCCAAAAGTGGGCGGGGCTGTAAAGTGATGTAGATTTTACTCTCATCTATTATTCAAAACCATTCTATTTATTCTAACGTAAATTACATGCCAGTGTTTTATCTTTTTATTTAGCGATTTGTTTTTGTTTAACTGGGAATGTTTTTACAGGAACAATACCGGAAACAGACGTAGGAAAGATCCTCAGCTCGGTGATTGGATTGTTTAGCCGCAATGCACGTTGGGATATGCTGTTTATGCAATGTGAAATCCGAAAACATTTAAAAAGAATAAAATAATACTTTATTCCGAGTGTTCTTGCTTTTCTCTTTGGAAGTCATCACATAACGGCATTGTAATACACGGTTCGGCTGCATTAAATATTACATATCTGCCGTAGATATTTATTTATAGAGCCCTGATCAGAAGACCTTTTGACAAACTGTAAGAAATGTCACCAAAACTGAATACGTGACGTGGATCATAAATATATTAGCAATTAAACAACATCTTCCATTTCTTTTCACACAATACGTCTCCTTGCAGTATCAATACTAATTCGGCTGACTTTTATATTTGATCCAATTGGTAGATAGGTTATATTTACACCATAACGGTGCACAGCTGATAGAAAGGGATTTTTTTGTAGTTTTTAAAGATATTATTTACTAAACTACCTTTCCAACTCCTCATGCAGTTGACTGTTACAGGTCTATACACGTTCATGGTACAATGCATAAGCTTCAAATCGAGAGACTGAAACTGTATTTTCCTTTACCGTTCTGTTTTAATTTCACAATAAAGTTAATAGTCATATGTTTGATATTATTATGTTTTATTAACTACACCACTGGTTTTTGAACCCGCACCGCCTAGTGGTTAAAGCACGTTATTGAATTTTGTTGTTGAATAAGTTTTATTTGATGAAAACATTTAAATATTAAGAGTAGCCTACATACAAAATAGGGGGAAAGTAGAAGGCATGATAGAAATATTGAATAGAAAATATCAAGAAGATACTGTAGTGATCTCTACAATAAAACAGTTTAGTGCAGGACGTCCAAAGATATTAATAGGAGGATGTGCAAAACAGACAAACTAATAAGGCTTTATTTAAACATTAAAGAATACTTTAAGTTAAGGTCTTCTTTTGAATAAGAAAAAAACGTTGGGGTTATAAATATGAAACTTAACGTCCAATATATTGCATAGTTTATTTTGGCACTTGACAATCACCTTCCCTGAATTTGACTCAGATGTAACTAAAGTCTGATTTAAGGGTTGTTTATATTTCACATCATTAATCAGAATCTGCAAAGTAACTAAAATAAATGTAGAGGAGTAAAAATACCAGGTTAACCTCTGAATTGTAGTGGAGTAGAACAAAGTAGTATGCTGCTGTAACAAAAACATTTCCCAACTTGGGATCAATAAAGTATATCTTATCTTAAGATGATCGATGGCTACTGCCATATTTGCAAAACAGTAACGTTCTTCGAACCTCTGAAGGAACAGTGTTAAAAATAAATTTCAACCACTGACTTCGTCGTGGTTCTTCCGTCGGTAGGAGAAACAGCTCAGATTTCTCCTCACATTTCAGGAAACAGGGCCTTGGCATTGGCATGATTGGATCGATTGTGAACTGAACCAGAGCTTCCAACAGTAAATGTTAGGCTGGCAGAGGGTGCGGCCAGCGCCGCTGGGTGTGGCCATAGCTCTTCGGGATTGGTCCATTTCGTTCCGGGTACCGCATGACATCATGCCGTACCCGGAACTAAATGGAAGACTCAAATGGGCAGTGACGTATCTCCAACGAGGCGTTTTGGGGAGGTATTTTCTGTGTTAGAGTTTTACTCGCTACAGGGTGTACTTTGAGGGTTTTGACTCTGCACACCGTTTACATGCATAAAAACCTTCATAACACACAAGGGGACGGGTAATAACCGGAAAAGCATGACATGGGCCCTTTAAACCAATCAATATTGTGTAATTAACAAGGATAAACTGATGTTTTTTAGTGGATGAGTAATGCAGATATCACTGTGTAATCATTTGACAGTGAGGGGAATATATCCGGTTTTATTATGAAATCTTCGAGACCGGAAAAACTGTTTTCACCCACGCTAACTTTACATGGATGCTGCCCCATATACACGTTATCCTGGCGAGACCTCATCATCTTCGTAATATCTATCAAACTATAGATCCTACACATCGACTGGACGTGGATTCTAAGAGTACAATATACACTTCTCGCCAGAAATCAAATCAAAAAGCATTTTAATGGCCAAACTATTCCACAATTTAGGATTTTCCAGAGAGGGTTATTTGTGAATAAACGTCCCTCCGGAGCGTTTGCAATGAACGGGCCGGGAGCATGTTGTTTCTTCCACGACCACTAGAGCACCTCTAGTGGTCGTGTAAGAAACAACATACACTTTAAAACGTGTCTCTGGGTCGTAATAAGGGCTTGAACAATCGGCCTATATGGTCGTTTTTTGTAGGAGGACAGGCTGGGCCCTCCATGTGCCTGGTTGTGCTGATAGAGAGTAGGCCCAGAAATACGTTCAAGAAATTGACTAACATTTGATCAATTCATGGATTCGTTTTTTGGAAAGGTCTGTTTTGAATGAGTTTCTCAACAAAGGCAAGACAAGTTTATTTATAAATAACATTTGAACAACAGGGCAATTTAAAGGCTTTACAAAAAAACATTGATAGCATTTAAAAAAGGCAAAAAGAAACACATTATAAAATGTCATTTTTACAAGTTTTAAAGAAAGTAATTAAAAATCCAGGTGAATACATATTCAAATGAGCTGAATTAGAATAACAGAGGTATAAAGTACAAGAATAAATGTTACAATGTAAGATATGAATAGTTATTTTAATAAAAGGCAGGGGCAAAAGAAAATAATCTTTCAAAACGCTTTAAATCTTTGTTTACCAGATATCTGCTTTCTTGAAAGTAAGTCAATTCAGCAAACTAAAATATATTACAAAATAAAGAAATCTTATTGAACTAAGACCAAAACAAATGATTCATCAACTAAGAGGAGACAGTCCCAATTAAACCACCAAACTGATTGATTTCGAAATACTTTTTTGAAGCTTTGGGTAAATTATAGTCTGTTAGCTCATAGCTACTTTGTTTACCTTTACTAAGTTAGTGCTAAACGTGTAGCAAGCTTTCTCTGATATTAACTGACCCTTTTGCTGGACAAAATGTACTTTAATACCTGTCGTATCTTTTTTTCTTCTATTTCATGTGTAGACATTTGGTCCACCAAGTTTCAGCAGTTTCCTCCCTGGTTCCATCATGTGTGATCTCAGACAAGACAGCGATTTGGAGACAGATCACATGGCTGATTTCTCCCAGATAAACATTCGCCTGGACTCATTCCGCGGCTCCAGCCTGGCCCAGCAGGTGTCCGCAGATAGACTGGCCCGCGCCGGCTTCTACTTCACCGGCTACGCTGACCGTGTCCAATGTTTCAGCTGCGGGATGACCGTGGAGAACTGGTGCAGGGGAGACACGCCTGTGGAGAGGCATATAGAGGTAATCATAATGAAAAAACTAACATGGTTTAACTTTTAGGTTTTCATCCTGTTCTAATTCATACTAATCCCTTATATTCTCAGATCCACAGATAACAAAGTTAACTGTAGCATTTAATTATGCGAACAACACACAACAATGTCTGTGTTCTTTATTCACACAGCAAAAAATTCATCCAGGAAACCATTGGAAAATGTTACTCTCAACACTTTATGTTTCCATTGTAACACATTGACACAGTAAAGGTAAAACATCACCAAAAAGGTTTCTACTGTACAGTATTAAACTGAACATTCTCTTTTTATTGTTTTGTTATTATTATACTTTTATTATTCCTGGCACTTACTTGCACCATTTTGTCTCTTTCACTGTTTTTTTAATTAATTTGTTTAGGTCATGTGTAATACATTTCCATTATAATAATGTATTATATGTCTAATATAATTAGCGTATTGTTTGTTGCCTTGTTGTAGGAGCTATTGGCATTGAGATTTTCATTGACAATACTGTGCTTTACCTATTGTGCATATCACAATAAATAATTAGAATTTTTATTTCAGGTTTCCCCATCATGCAGGTTTCTGAGCTGCATCCACCGCACCAATTTCAACGCAAGTTTTGATACCAGCCTGACTAACGGTTCCACCTACAACGAAGAAGCAGAAGACATGGAGTTTCGTTGAGAAGTGGCGAGGTAGTCGATGAGAGCACCTACCCGATGGTCCCTCACATGAGGAGCGAGGAGGCCCGGCTTCGGACCTTCTCTGCCTGGCCCTCTACTGCTCCAGTGAGACCCCAAGACCTGGCCCAAGCCGGCCTCTATTACCTAGGGGAAGTCGACCACGTGCAGTGTTTCTGCTGCAACAACATGCTGGGGGGCTGGGGAGCGGGAGACACCGCCTGGGGAGAACACGCCAAACATTTCCCCGATTGCTCGTTCATCCACGGCAATGATGTTGGCAACGTCCCATTAGCGGGGGGGACGGTGGAGGAGGAGTGCGGGAGTAGACAACAGGCAAACGTTCGAGCCCAGATGGGGAGTTATGAAGAGAGGCTTGCTAGCTTCGCGGCTGTCCAGCACCCTATTGACCCCGAGAGGCTGGCCAGAGCTGGCTTCTACAGCAAAGGTAGAGCAGTGATGAAGACTTTTCTCTGAGCATTATGCTTTGTTTTGTTTTATAAATGTATCATTTAATTTGGACTGAGTGAGTAAGGGTTTGAATACCCATACTTTCAATATTTCCACATGTTACACAATTTGTATTTATTCAAAAAAACTCTTCAATTATATATACTATAAACTAGAGGTGGGAATCACCAGGCTCTCCACGATACAATATTATTGCGACACTTAAGCCACGATACAATAGTATTGCGATTCTACGATATGCTAAGTATTGCGATACGATTTAAACGTATTGCGATACAATTTAAACGCGACCGGCACATTTCTGATTTCTTTCTCTGCCGACTCCATCTTTGTTTTGACTTACTTCCTGCCAATCCCACTGACTTTACCCATGGCTCAGCATCATTCTAGTGGATTGAAAAAGCAATTGTTCCCAAAAACTTTAATTTGGATTTCCAATATGAATAGTTTATATTAATAAAATATCGATACTTGGCGTCCGTGTATCGTTACAATATCGGCACGCAAAGTATCGCGATGCTATGCGGTATCGATTATTTCCCCCACCCCTACTATAAACTAATACTTCATCCCCACTGACACAATCATATCAATGCTTGCCAAACACACAAAAAACCTGAGGCCTTTACTGAGAAGACAGTTCAGCATACCCTGGATTTCTTTGTGTTATCTGGCTTAACTTACCCTAACAATCGCTATCCCGTTAAGCGGTCCTATGACACTGGTTATGAGCTAAGTAAGTCAACCCAGGGTTTCTCAGTCCGGCTACAAGCGCACATTCTGTGATTTATTGCGGGCTGTCTTTCCTGCATTTAGCAGTTTAAACCTTGAACAGTGTTGGTTTTGGATTGGAAAACGACTTCATAGCTTTAAACTTTGCACACAGAGCTCTGATTGGTCAGTAAACCGTGCTTTTACTCGAGTAGATCTCTTGTCTCAAACATAACCTACTCCAATGCAGGTTAGGTGTTCAGCATTAGTTACCATGAAAGTCTACCCCGGTAAAAATGTAACCAGCGTCGTAGTTTACCCTGAAGTTACCTCGCTAACCCCAAATCCTGCCTCGTAGTACAGCCCACTGCCCAGCCCCCCATCCCTTAACACACACATGTACCCACAGACCCATGACGGAGATGTAAAAAAAAACATATCTGATGTTTAATAATTGTTTGGGGTATAATTGCACAAAAGATTTAATTGTTTGTGTCCTTGCAGGTGTAAGAGACATGGTCCTGTGTTTCCGCTGTGATGGAGGTTTGAAAGGATGGCAACCTGAGGAAGACCCTTGGGAAGAACATGCCAAACACTACCCTGGGTAACCAACCATGATGGTCCCTCTTCTAATTCCTAAAATGTATAGTAGATTTAGTTCTAACACAACTTTTTCTGATTTTTTTTAAACAGATGCAGCTTCCTGTTAGCAGAAAAAGGACAAGAGTTTGTTAACAACATCCAGCTCCAAGACCCTCGACGAAATCGAGCTGTAAGCATTCAGTGCATTTACTTTTCCTCAAGTTATATCTCTCACAGGCTCCGCCCTCTACTGGACTCTATGGGTACTTCCCCTTGATCCTATCATGCAATCATTCATCCACTGAGACCCCCTTTACACGAGAACGAAACGGGTTGTATCCGCATAGTTTCTCTTGCGTATAGCCCTTTTATTTACACGAGGCCGTAACAAAACGATAGAAACGGACCCCACAAACGATAACGGGTCCCAAGGTGGATAGATTTGCAAACGGAACGCTCTGGGGGGGTCAAACGGCTCCGTGTAATCGCCTCTATACGATCATTTCCCGATAGATGAAGCCATAGCCCCGCCTCTCCCCACCTCTGCTGCTCACTGCTGTAGCATGGTCAGTAGCTACTGTCAGTAGCTACTGCTAGTGCTACTGCTACTGACCATGCTACAGATGTTAGTACAACATCTACAGCTCGACCATGCTACAGATGTTAGTGCAACATCTACAGCTCCTCTACCACAACCATCAGCAACAAGTGGACATGGAGAATTACATGAACTACATGTTGCTAAATCCACCGCGGGGCATAAACAGAAGGGCAGCCATGGCAACCATGCTTCTTCGCTGCTTTTGGTGTATTTTGTGGCGGAAGTTACAGCGCCACTTACAGTCCCGGCATATGTACTACAGCGTGTCCAGCGCTTTCGAGCGGTCTCGTGTGGAAGTACAGCGCCATTTACAGTCCCGGCATATGTGCTACAGCGTTTCCAGCGGTCTCGTGTGAACAGACACGTTAAATGAAACGAATGCATGTGAACGGAAGACTTTTTGCGCGCGCATCCCTTTCTCTTCAGCAAGGCAGTGAGACACAACTGAGTGAAGAGAGACGGATACAAATCAAATACGAAGAAAATGGACTCACCATTGGTGGATCAGCGCCCCTGTTCTTTGTGTCCGGGCGCCATAGAAGGCGCCGACCCCCACCGTCAGTGCATTGAGTGCCTGGGGTCCGACCACACGGCGGCCAACCTGGGCCCGCTTGCGGTCTGCAGCACCTGCCGGCGAATTCCTCGCCCCAGCCGCCATCAGCGGCTGACGCAGTTTGAGGACTGCTACGTCTCGCCGGTGGAGGACCCAGAGCTCGACGTGGTGGAGATGGAGGACCTCGAGGAAGGAGTGCCCTTCGTGTTCGCCATACCAGCCGAGAGGGGGGAGGGACGACGATGGCGACACCTCGTCGTCTGAGGTTTCCGGCGACCGTCAGGAAGGCCAGCAGCACAGGTCTGCGCGACAGGACTTCCCGGCGGTGATGACTATGGCGGCGGAGCGTGCAGGCTCCCTCCACCGCTGCCGGTGAGCCGCCTACGTCAGGGCTTCTATGGCCCGGCCCGTCCGGCGCAGCCGGCCTTCATTTCACCCCCCCTGCCAGACATCTGGCGGTGTGTGGAGGCCACGTGGCGACAGCCACTGAGAACAAAGGCTCCGGTGGCGACATGGGCTGGAATCCTCAGAGTGCAGGGCCACTCGGACACAGAGTGTCCCGGTGTGCCCCCACTGGATGAAAGCCTGGCGGCCCATCTGCTTCTGCAGGCAGACGGGTGGGCAGAGGGGAGAAGGCCGCTGCCGCGTGACCGCGAGATGCTTGAGTATCTGGATAAGATATTCAGGCTCGGGGCGCAGATGGCGGCGGTGGCAGCCAGTAATCTAGGTGTGTTGGGAGTAGGCCTGTCATGATAATTAATTTTGTTGGACGATACATTTTCCTGGAAATTGCGATAAACGATAATATTGTCGGCACCGTTGTAAGACCATTTTAGACCACTGACATAATGATTATATATAATAATAATTCAAGTACATCCTTTCAAACAGAACTTTTTATTGAACATTCATGAGCACACATTGTCTCACAAGCAAAAAAAACCTGCTTAAAACAACAGTCAAGTGTACAGTCCACTGTCCATACAACAGGCCATATCCAAATCTGTATTTCAAAGATTTCGAGCAAGGAACACCAACATGTTTGCATTGTCGGGCAAATGCATCTTTGATTGTAAACTGTCGGGAAGGTGGGGGCTCTCCATCTCCAGCTGCCGTGTTTGCTCCCAGCTGGGAACACGGAATGGGGTGGTTGTGTTTCAGGTGCTGTTTAAGGTTGGTCGTATTGCTAACTTTTGTTGCTACCTTTTTAAAACAAATGCGACACACCGCCCGCTCATTCAAGTCCGTAGGATCGCCTCGTTGATTTGGCTTAAATCCAAAATATTCCCACACCGGAGATGTAGTATTAGATTTTGCAACCACTTCCATTTAACTTCAAATTCCCCTCGAGTAAGTCACACGTTGTCTCCTGCTTGTCTCTATATTATTAATTTGGCTGCTATACTGCTGCACGCGGAGTGTCCTGACCTGGCTGTGTCATGGTCTGTGTGTGTGAGCCCCGCCCCTCACAGCGCGCCGGGCTAAAATGCTGGTCACATCCTTATGTAAACAAACACGCATGTAAACGGCAATTTATCGAGCTCAGGAAAGTTATCGAGTCCATTTTTATTTATCGTACGATAAGTCATTTATTGATTATCGCGACAGGCCTAGTTGGGAGTGTTGCTGATTACCCCTCAGCAGGCGTGATTACTCGGACCACTGCGTGGGCCAGATGAATAATCTGGTCCACGGTATGGCTACCGCAGCCGGACGTGTGATGTCCCTGACCACCGTGGCGTCGCGTCACGTGTTACTAGGTCTGACAGCACTTGCCAAGACAGACCGAGACGATCTCCTTGGGGCCTCCGTTGCCACGGAAGGGCTCTTCGGATCGATATCCTCGGTCACCCAGCGCTTCAGTCGCCTGGAGGGAGAGAGGGCGCAGTTCAGCCGCATGCTGCCGCTGGCTCGCCCTCAGGCCTCTCCGCAAGGTGGTAAGGCGGAGAGCGAGGCGCCGGTACAGAGCCCCCAGAGCTCCTGGCGCAGCGAAGGGGTACTGGGTGGGGGGCTCCGTCTTCCAGGAGTTGACTGGTGGCGGGAGGAAGCGTCCCGGCGGGGAGAGGTGATTTTTCCGGCCAGGACGCGAGGGCGAATCCCGCCTCCTCCCTGTTTGACCCCACGGTAACAAGCTCGTCTTTTTCAAATGAAAATAAAAGAGATAACTTGTATTCCAGTCTGAGTGTCTTTTCTTTCCACACACCCACACAGCCACGTAATGTTGACCGTACAGATTCCCCACTCGCTGCCCAGGTTGTAACTCCAGTAAAGGAGGCAGCTAGTGCACATGCGCGGGTGAGAGTGATAAACCGCGCTATGCGGGTACAGGGACATTATTGCCGGCGTAGCAGGGTTAGAAAACAGTTAACGCCGAGTTTAAAAACTCCGTTTGATGTAGGGCTGCACGATATTGAAAAAAACTGACATTGCGATATTTTTTACCCCTCCGATATATATTGCGATATGTAAAAATACAGGAATGAAGAAAATACTTTCTTTAACTTTAATGCTATACATTTGGTATTTTTCTAACTATATTTAACCGGATGAAGGATTTTAGTCACGGACGTCTGGATCTTAAGTTATCAGAGCAACAAGCTGAGCTAGCTCGGTTAGCAGCGCCAAACTGCCCTGGAGAAACACATGAAACTACTTTATTCAGTGTTTTTACCTTTAATCACCGGGTCCGTTTGCTTTGGAGATTTGATTGTGATTGGTGGTTTGCTGTGCATGCAGAGCCTGCATGTCACTCACTCAAGTACCCCTGACATGAGCCGCGCGAGTTTTTCTTTTGTAGCAAGCAGCAAAAAGAATTGTAACATGACGTGTTTGAGTTAATTTGCCTACTTAATATCGCACGTCCTAAAAAAATAAAAAATACAATTATTAAAAAATCGCACGTCCTGCGATGTGAATATCGCGCATATCGCGATTATCGTCACGACACGATATATTGATCAGCCCTAGTTTTATGCATTTCACTGTTTGGGTGAAAGCATCATGGCGGGGCGCGCGCTCTCGTTCAAGGCCCTCAGTAGAGAGTCGGCCCTTTCTGTGTCGACCCCCCATGGGCAGAGCTTCCCTTCGCGGGGAGTTTTGCGGCGGGACGGGTCGCCAGAGAGTACCACAGCTTTATCGCTGGGGCCCCACAGCTGATTGCACATCCTCTAACACAGTGTTATGGGGAATGGAAGCGCAGCTGCGTGTTAACGGAGTGGATGGACAGGACGCTGAGACTGTTTCACTCCAGTTTTGCAGCATCCCTCCTCCGTTCACAGGCATAAGAGAGGCAAAGCTATCATCCCGAGGGGAGATAGATTTTCTCTCAGCAGAGGTTCAGGCCTTGGTGCAAAAACAGGCAGTATCTGCTGTGCGCACGCAAGACAGAGAGGGGGGGGGCATTATTCCCTGTACTTCCTGGTTCCCAAGAAGACAGGAGAATTCAGGCCCATTCTGGATCTTCGCAGTCTAAATCTCCACATTGCACGCAGAAAATTCCGGATGTTAACTATAAAACAGTTACTGGGACTGGTGCAGCCAGGCGATTGGTTCACAACCATCGACCTGAAGGACGCTTACTTTCATGTCGAGATTGCTCCGAAACACAAAGTATTTGCGTTTTGCCTTCCAGGGGATAGCCTACGAGTACAACAGACTACCGTTCGGCTACTCCCTATCCCCACGCACGTTCAGCAAATGTGTGTGGGACAGGCTAAGACAGGGTGGATTGTCTGATAGTGTTATTCAGTCTATCCAGGCAGCTAGAGTGGGATCCACCACAGCCTGTCAGCCAGGCTGAAGTGGCTTGGATTCCAGCGATGGTGTGCGGAGCGGAAAATAGAGCCCCTATCTTGTGAATTGGGATCTAAATTGGGATTTTGTCGTACTTACAGTTACTGGTGGACAGAGGGCTTGCTCATTCCACAGTGAAAGTGTATGCAGCAGCCATCTCGTCCTGCCATGAGGGATTTGGCGGCAGGTCAGCCTTTTCTCAGCCACTAATGTTACAGTTTTTACGGGGGGTCAGGAGGCTGCGCCCAGTAGTGCGCGCCTCCGCCCCGCAGTGGGACCTGCCCCTGGTGCTCGAGGCTCTGGTCACAGAACCATTTCAGCCTCTGGAGCTCTCCTCCCTAAAAGCACTGTTGTGGAAGACAGCATTGCTGCTTGCCTTAACGTCAGCCAAAAGAGTGTCCGAGTTAACCGCTCTATCGGTGCACCCGAGTTGTTTAATGATCCGGGGTGACTAGAGCGGGGCGACACTCAGACCGAACCCCTCTTTTGTGCCCAAGAGCCTAAGGAGTGCGTTCAGGTCGAGGGCTATTCAGTTGGGGGGCTTTAATCTTCCACGCCATAGTGGGGCGAGGGAGGCAAAATTACACCTCCTCTGCCCGGTGCGTGCGCTAGCGTGTTATGTGGAGCCCCCGGCTGCCCTTAGATGCACTGAACAGCTGTTTGTGTGCTTCGGGGGCGCGGTGATCGGGAAAGCCCTGTCCAAGAAACGCCTGGCAGGCTGGCTCTGCGAGTGCATTACACATGCCTACGGACAGGCGGGGAGAGCCTTCCCCACGGGGGTCCCTGCGCACTCTACACGAGACATGGCTGTGTCAACAGCTTTATTTAATGGCGTGAGTGTGGAGGACATATGCACGGCGGCGTCTTGGTCAACGCCAGGCCCCTTCATAAAGTTTTATCTCTTGGACATGTCTGGCTCCTTTTCATCATCTGTGCTTGCTGGGGCAACGCAGGACTGGTGAGGAGGGACCTCCACGTCATAGCACACCTCCGCGGGGTAAGCGCGTCAGGGTGTGCTCTGTCAGCCGCAGCCTCATTTTTCTCCACGCTTACGACCGAGGGAGAGGTGAGTGAGGCGCAGCGGCTGCTAACCAGAAAGCCGGTCAGAAACAGTGAGATGGAACAGTGTTGTTGTGGGACGACAGCGCGTGTATACATCGGGGCTCCGCCCACTGTACCCATAGAGTCCAGTAGAGGGCGGAGCCTGTGAGAGATATAACGAGGGGTTACGTATGGTAACCCTTGTTATATAAACACAGGTGGAGCCCTCTACTCAGGGGCCCTGTCTGTCCTATGCTGCTTGCTGAAGAGAAGTGTAGGATGACAGTCAGGAGGCGAGGCGTCCTTTTATACGGTGAGATGCACGCGCTTTCAGGTAGGCCAGCCCCGGGGCCGGCTACGTCTAGAAAGTCTCAGTGGATGAATGCTTGCATGATAGGATCAAGGGGAAGTACCCATAGAGTCCAGTAGAGGGCTCCGCCTGTGTTTATATAACAAGGGTTACCATACGTAACCCCTCGTTATTGTTGACTTTCCCAACTAATCAGATTTGTAAACCTTGTGTAAACATGACCCGGATTTCCTTAATCAGAGTTGAGTGAAACACACCCAAGTTTCCGGCCAATGATTTGCTTATTGGCCAGAAAATCTGACCATGTGTTTGGATGTGGCACATGCTCATGATAGACCCAGCTAAAGTAATGCTATGACAGCAGTGTGTTAGGAGGATGAACGGGTATATTATTATTACTCATAGTGGCACTGCTTTGTATTAAAAAAAACTTAAATCCCATATGGCTGAAATGGAAAAATATCTTTAAGCAGCCTTCAGGATACAACTTTGTTCTAGAGCAATGTACTTTTGAAGCAGGATCAATCTGAATTAGACAAATCAAGTGTTGTTGATATCTTGTGGAATTAGTCTATAAGAATTAAATGATGACTTTGTTTTACTATTCTGCCTCAGGAAGGAATTATATACTTAAAGGTCACCTATTGTGCAAAATCCACTTTTACATGTCTTTTATACATAAACATGTGTCCCCTCTGTGTAAAGAGATTCTGGAAGTTTCAGGAAAAAAGATTCGCTCACTTTTTGTTCTGATCCATTTATATAAAAACCTGTCTGAAAATGAGCTGATCAGATTTTGGCCACTTTATGATGTCATAACGATTTTCTTTTGGCTTGTTTAACCATTAGCCAAACACTTCAGAGACATGTTTTGTATATATCTGAGACCTATAATATGTTGATGAGAAACAGTATAATAGGGGACCTTTAAGAAAACCAGCAACTTCTTGGCTTCAGTTTAGCTCTATAATGCATTGTTAAACAAGACAGATGTTGTCACCCATCTCTAACATTTAACCTGCTTAAGATCGGATGTCTTTCCAGCCAATTTGGGCATGAGGAACAATTACAGCAACCAATAACTACATCCATGTGCATATGTGCTCGTAAATGTATAAAGTTCTGCACATTAAGGGAATGTAGATTTGTGTTGGACGAATTGAAAAACATGAAATACTAAACATACTTAAATAATAATGCTGTAATGTTAATTGGTCTCTGGACAATGATAAGCAAATCAAATCTGTTGTTGCCTGTAGTGATGTCACTTGATGTGCTGCTTGCCTTAACCTGACCCTATCACCATGTTTGTTTCCAGACTTCAAGTCATCAGAATGGGTTTTCTGGTCATGGGAATGGTAAATATGAACATTTCCCCCTTTTCTAATTGAATAACTATAGAAAACTTCTCATGTACAGGACACGACTAATTAAATAAAGAGACTGATTGGAACAAGTAGTAATATATATATATACTAATGTGTCCTCTTTGTTTTCAGAGGTGCTGCGGTCTGACATGGCTCAGAAGGCCATAGAGGCGGGTCTGGAGCCCAGTGTGGTGGAAAAGACCATCCTGGAGAAAATCAGTACGACTGGCTCAGGCTACTCCACCCTGGAAGCTCTAATGGATGATTGTTTCAATGACACAGCAATGAGTGATGCTGCCTCGTCACAGAGTCAAGGTACTGTACACTCTGAATGCTAAACCAGCTTCATATTATAATCAGAATCAGAATACATATTTTTTTGTCCCGGGAAAAATGTGGTTTTGTGATAGTTGCTCCATTTAAAAAAGAAATAAAATAAAAGATTAACAATATAAAAATGTTTTGCAAACGTAAAATGTCAGGGTAGAAAAGTGCAATAATAAGATATAAAATAAAAAGAATAGAGGTATTTATACAAACATAGGTAGTTAAATGAAAATGTCCAATCAAATAAATGTAAATGTATTAATTTAAAAGTAAAGTCAAAGTAAAAATGTGCACATTGTAATACAAGATGTAACATGTATCTCACACAGTATATTATACATTGGTGTATTAGCATTAATTAAATATGAATCCTGTATATAAATGCTAATATTAAAATACTGATACTGACTACATGTAACAAAGCCTGTGTAACAGTCATTTCATATTAATATAAATCCCCCCCCCCCCCCCCCTTTCTTCCAGATGAGGACCCACTGGAGAAACTACGGAAGCTGCAGAGGGAAAAACAGTGCAAAATATGTATGGACAGAGATATCTGTATTGTCTTCATTCCATGTGGTCATCTGGCCACCTGTAAGCAGTGTTCAGAGACGCTCATCAAGTGTCCAATCTGCTGTGGGGCCATAACACAGAAGCTCAAGACCTACATCGCCTAAGGGAATCACAATCTCTTGCCAAACATTAATGCTGCTTTCGCACAATCTCTATATTGTATTTTAATAAATAATGTAGATGCCCTGTGACATATTTAAAGACCATGTTGTTTGTTTGAGTATGAGAATAAAATAATGAGTCTTCACAATCACTGAGATGTTAAATAGCTGTTAATACTGAGATGGTTTATTATAAATAGTTGATGTTGATTTTATAGATAATAGAAACTTGTAAATACACACTAAAGAATAATTATTAGCAATGCAACCTTCTTTCTTGCCAGAGGTGCCTTTCTCTTGGTTGATGTACTCGTGTCTTGTTTTGTGTTTTCTTTTAGGACATTTTCCACAGGGTAATTGAGCTATACATGAGAAGTCATCTCATTGTGTTTTATACCCCTTATGTGTCCCACTTGTCTATTTTGTCTGGCTCTTTGCTGAAATATATAAATGTCGATCCCTAACTGCCCTTTCATTTATAACTGACACAATCAACTCTAATTAGGGGCCGACAATTAATCAGTGAGTTGTATTAACCGTTCCATCATGCAATCTATTTGGTCATCAAGAGTGAATAAATCTGAATGTTTGGACTTGGAAATGTTTTTCTTGCTTTGAGTTGTCTTACTTCTACTAGTCACAGAGGACACCAATGCAACTTTACCCACATAAAGGTTTGTATAACTTTTGAGTACCAGTATCTTGAAATGTCCAGAAGGAGACGTTACATTTTTAATGAACTATAACAGTTTGTGACTTTTGCATAAAGCTCCTGAAGTTATTAATATTCAAAGAGAGCTCAAATAGTCTTCAGATGTTGATAGTTAAAATAATTGGGTTATGAGAGCAGCTTGCAGGCAATATCAAATTGGTTAATCTGAATATTTTACATAGGGTGCAGATCGCCGCCGGAGCATTATATGGATTAGTTAATATCCATGTGTCGCAAGAGGGATTTAAATTAGCTAATTTGACTGAGGTATTATATAAAATACTGAACTATGGTGGTAATAAACTCTATTTTAGGTCAGTATTTTACCGAAATACTTTCGACTTCATGACTACATTTGGTTTCTATTTGCGTTTCCCCAGCAGCTTGTAAGAGAGGACAAAGCACAGTCGTAGGATGTAGTGAGCCTCAGTGACCGCTAGATGTCAGCTCATCCTCGGTGTATCTAAAAGCGAGTCCCTCGGCCGCTAGGTGGTAGCTCTGCACCAGGATATCCTCCTCCCAGGTCGTCGAAACAACAAACCGAACTACGGAGCAAGCGGGGTGAGAGAACGTCCGAAACCGCCTCTGACCGCGACTTTTAAACTCTTTTTACAGAATTTCAGTGGGATTCAGACGGAAGCTGTCCAACAATATTAAAAGTTAAGATTCTGCTGGGACTATATTGCACAACAAGGTAAGTTAGCTGTAAAATGGCGGAGTGCTATCTGGAAGTTAGTTGATTTGTATTTTGCTAGCCGTGTAGCTCTAGCTGAGCCCTGAGCGCGGACGCCTGCCTGAACCAAGTCGCTTCGCTAGCTCGCGGTACATGGCTGGTTGTTAGCAAGCTAACGAACTGGGTTTTCGGCACAGCGACGCAAAGTGTGTAGTTCGTACCCAAAATAAACGTTTTGTTGTTTCAGGCAACTTACTTGCACTTTATATATTTGTAAACAAAGTGTTTGTTGCTTATGCAATACGGTACTGGAACTCCCGAGGCAAGATGGAGGACGCAAGGACGTGATGTTTTTTTAGGTAACGTTAGCCGTAGCTGTTAGCATAGCTAACGAGTGGTAGTTAATATCAACTCCTAAATTGCAGCATATGTATTGGCATGATTTGCTTTATCTTCGGATAAGCACTGAATACGAGTTGTGTGTAGAACTAAGGCTGGTTTTGTTCTCCCAAACATTGGTGACTAGCGTTATTGTGTACTAGCCAGCATTAGCATGCGCTAGTACAGTAGGGCTTGCGTTGTTTTGTTATTATGGACCAAGTACGATAGAGCTAGAAAACGCTGACGTTCTCGATAACCAACGAAAATGCACGGTTCATTCGTAGCCCTTTGTGTTCAGTAATTCACAGTTCGCTCATACGGACCAGTGCATGCTTATTTGATCAAATTTCGATTGGCTGACGCTGGGGGGAAAACGCCGAAATCCTCGGTTGCTCAGCTAGTGGCGCTAGCATTAGCAGAGCACCGGTGTCAATTTTTGACAGGCGCCGACGAAGAGCGCAGCCGTGTCGGCGTTGTTGGAGGGAACAGAGCCGGTGGTTAATGGCATAGTTGACTTGCAGGAGTCTACACTATTGTGTGTTTCAGTAAATCGAGGTATACTCGTTTAGTCTCGCTCCGCAGTAACAAGTTTATGAGATACACCGACTAATTTGGCGCCACTTTTTCAGTCTACACCCATAGAATCCCGTCGTCTTGTCATGCATTATCCTCTCACTACCGAGGAGATATGCACTGTAACAGGTTTTCAAATCAACAAATATAACAATGAACTTAGAACTCGCCAAGTCCCAACTACTTTATACATATTGATCATGTTGCATGTGTCTACGTTGACTGTGTTGTGAAGATTTCTACGTCGATCATTATATATTCATTAACAAAAAATGTTGGTACGTTCGCGAATTCGTCATGTGGGCCACAACGTTTGGGATATTGTTAGTGATAATACCATGACGAACGTTACATCTTAATTACCACAGACCATTTATCGGAAGGCTTCTCACTACTCATACATTTTAGTATAATTTATGAATACGAGTGACACTTGTATGTCATCATCACTGCGTGTTTTTTCGGATCATAAGATGAACCTATTGCACCCCGAGCGGGTATATCATGGGTGGAGTTAAAAGTCCTTTTCAGGAGTGAATAGTTTTCCCTGGGGTAGTTTTATTGTCTTCCCCCATTCTTACAGAGGCTTTTACACGTGTCCTAAATGTCTGTCGAATTAAAAATCCGATTTTTAAAAGTTACATCTACCCTCCCCATTGATGTATTTGCCCCTAATTTACACATCTCAAGCATGCAATAGTTTTTCTGTGGCCTGCAGTATCTTGTTGATGTTGATACCGTCGTTTGATTGGTAGAGATATGTATGGGGCGGATAGGGCAGTGCCATATTTGGCCATTGAGGAAGACGCTCCAATATTCCTTGCGTGACGTTGGCTCTAAAGCAAGGGAGAGAGAAAGCGAGGGAGCCAATGGCTACACAGCTTAGCGTGACAGCAGCATCAGTGTCCGCCCACTGTTACCATGTGAAACCGTTTTTCTCTCTGAATGTAATCAAAGAAACATTTGCTCACTACAGAGCATGTGATTTATTTGAACATACATGTGCTTTTGTAGCATTTATTGTTTCTGCTGTGTCCAAACGAGGAATACGTCTGCATATGTAGCTCACTCAATTTCTCTCTTTCATTTTCTAGGTCACATGCACCCTCTCCTGTCTTTTTATTTTCTGAGGATATAAAGCCAGTCATAAGTTGAAGTTATCCAGAAGATGTTACAGAAATGATAGCAGCACCAGAAATACCATCAGAGTTCACCTATACTCACCAGTAAGTTCTTGCTTCCACTTTTAATTTGCTCTGATTTAGGTTGAGGTTGATGATGTGAATTTCAAATCTAATATGTGCTTGTCTCCCAGGGATACAGATACCCGATTCTCTTCAGACACAGACTTCTCTGAGGAACTCGATGGAAGGAGTGCGACCCCAGCCAAAGGAAAGGTATAGAAAGCACATCTGACTATTAGTTGGAGATATTGTCGTTCTACTTTGTTATTGTCATTTATTGTGGTTATTGGTATCAATTATTGTGATTTATTTTGAAGATCTGCTTTGATTACAAGTCAATCTTGGCATTTGTAATTTTTATCATGTACAGTAAGCTGCTTAAAGTTTTGGTAGTTAAACGGGTCATAATTCACTCTGTCTATTTTATATTGCTGTGATTACATCTGTTATACAAATGTGTTGCCAAACCTTTTCACAGATTACATTGAAGCACAACATGATAACATTATCATTTACCTTCAACAAATACATTTTTTTGCTAAAAAGAGCTTAAACACAATATAATGTAAGTCAATGCAACCTCTGTAAGTTTAAGCTGTTACCTCTGTTATTTAACAGAACTTTGCTATGCTATTGTCCAAAAATATAAATAACATTCTCCTGGTTGCATATTTTTTTACTGAAGCGAGAACAATCAATAGGGGCATCTCTTGTTTGTGCCCGACTGAGCAAGTGAGTTGCTACATTTGTCAGCCTAACACAGCATTTTACTTGGCAATCAACATAGTTTTGACCCAATATGTGACAAGTGTATATAAAAAATGTTCTTCTCTATAATGATTCTCACACTTCATAACTCCTTTTTGTCTTCTATATTGTTCCAGGGTGGAAGGAAAGGGAAGAAAGCAGCAGGGGAGAAAGGCAAAGGAGGGAAGGGAGCGGGCCGGTTAAATGGCCACCACCAAGAGAATGGCATGGAGAACATGATGCTGTTTGAGGTGGTGCGGCTGGGCAGGAGTGCTATGCAGGTAGGAATGGCATTCTATTTGAGATCGCCACAATAAAACAAATCTGTTCCTCCATTCACACGAACAAACTCATTCTAACTAATGGTCTCTTGCTGTACCCTTTATTTTTCCTGCAGTCTGTCGTTGATGATTGGATTGAGTCCTACAAAACTGACAGAGATGTTGCGCTACTAGATCTCATTAATTTCTTTATCCAGTGCTCAGGATGTAAAGGTACGTGTGTATCTATTTACGTTATCCCCCTCTCATTGGTCCTTTTTAGATGCATTAAGAACCAGAACCACTCTCCTTAAGTTGGTATTCTTGAACGTAAAGTAAAACATTTTCTGTCTAACTCTTCTGTTTTAATTAGGTGTGGTTAGCGGAGAAATGTTTCGAAACATGCAGAACTCTGAGATCATCCGACGAATGACAGAAGAATTTGATGAGGTAACTACACTTTTTCCAGTTAAATCATTACAATATCTTACAGGTCATTTCAGGTTATATATTACATTAATAAAATATGATTTGCTACATTTCTTACAGGACAGTTATAACTACACATTGTAGTCGTTTTTTTCTCTTTGCATTTACTGACGTCCTTCCCTCTGTGGCCTCTGTAGGACAGCGGTGACTACCCTCTAACCATAGCAGGACCCCAGTGGAAAAAGTTCAAGTCAAGCTTTTGTGAATTCATTTCGGTGCTCGTGCGCCAGTGTCAATACAGTATCATCTATGATGAGTACATGATGGACACAGTCATCTCCCTCCTCACCGGACTATCAGACTCCCAAGTCCGAGCCTTCAGACACACCTCAACACTGGCAGGTAGGAGGAGCGGAGTCTGTATTTCTGTGTGTGGTTGAGGTACCGCTGAATGGCAGTAATTGGCATGTTCTATACGTAAACAGAGTAGCAATGTGTCTGGGAGCAGCAGCCAGTTGGGAGGGATCATGGAGCACTGTGTTTTTGTCTAATCAGAAAAGCTTTTTTTCTTTATATTTGTATTAGGTGATAGTCAATATAACAAATTAGAAAATGATGGCTGTTCAAATAATCCAAATGTGA